TTGTCTAACTTATTTAACGAAGTGCACCAACGAGAAGGTAAGCCATAGGACTTTGCACTCCGTTTGTAAATTGTCATGTTGTTGCCTAAGATTAGCTCTCCATTTCTGGATTCTTTTCTTTTTCTTAATTGGCAGTTATGTAATTTTTTTTAATAGATTTTTTGTTTTTTTGTTTTAATTTTTACTAAATAAAAATCAACTTGAATATTTAAAACTTTCAACATCAGGAGTTATTTCTTGATTAATAAATTATTTTTTTTTTAATTAAATTTTTTATTTATTGCATTTTTTTGTATTTTTGTCTTTTTCTCTTTGTTTTTTAAATTCTTCACAAAATAGCTCCAAAGATACAGGTAGAATGCAACACCTTTATGTTTCTTCTCTTTACTTTACATATCAGCACTATTTTACTTGCTAAAATAATTTGCTAAAATTTATACAATGATCTGACAAATCATATTTTTTTTTATATATATTTAGTATATATACTATTTTCACCATGTACCAACTATAATATTTGGCCTTTATAATATTTGAATTTTATAAAATTCTATATTATTCTCTCCACAAGGATTCTTTAGTTTGCAATTTGTTGACTTAAAACTGTTTTGTTCAATAGTAAGTTTTTCTCTACCCTTAACCAAATAATGGTAAAACAATATTACACTAAGTGGTCTATAGTATTCTGCTATTGTAAAGCCACAGTCAGTTTTACCTTGATTAACGTAATAAACATAAATCCTCCCCCGGGTGTATTTCCTACTAAAACTTTAACTATTGTATGATTTTTATTATCTAATTACATAATTTTGTGCATAAATAATTAAGATAGTTTATTAACTTTGTACTCTACACAATCAATGATACATTTTACAGTAGGAAGCTTTTCCTGAATTTATTAGGAAATTTTCTTCCTAACTCACTCCATACAAGGCCATATGCAGATGTCTTATACATAAAATATATCCATGTATTTACAGTATTTAAAACTGTTCCTTCTGAAATATTGTATAAAAATAAATAAAAACAAAGATCAAAGTTCCCATATAAACAAGTCAATGTTAAAATAAATAAATATATTTATGCATCAAGCGGCTTTAATACTCTTGGTCGTCCGGTAGATGAAGTGTTTTTGTTTATTGATTGTTATAAAAAATTGTTTTTTCCATTTTTTTCCATCTAAAAATGCTTAAACAGCTTGGTTATTGATGGAAATCCAGTATAAACTATACTGGATAAATGAATCTACTAATTTACCTTCAGCAACATTTACTTTAAAGTCTACTTCTTCTAGTGGCGCTGACAATAATGTCGATAAAGAGATATCTACTTTATTTTGTGGCGATGAAAATTGTGCTGAAGCAGACTAATCGTCATCGACATTTTTAAACAAACATTGTCTGAAACTTTGTGGTTTTCTGGATGTATCTGACACTGAAAATTTATTTCATGAGTGCAATATTGTCCTAAAAACATTTATAAGTTTTATTTGTGTACCAAATGGGGTTTTATGGACCATTTCTTGTAAGAAATGCTTTTGACATAACCAAGTAGATTTGTTGTTTTTAAATTATCTTTCTTTTCTTGTCTTTTTATTAAGTTACACCAAATATTTCTTTCTACAGTTAAAAATGTGAAAAATATAATATTTGTTGGAACTCTAATTCCATTTACATTATCTATCATAGCTATTTGAAAAACATTTATAAAAAGCACATTGCAACCCAGACAATATCGCCATTTTTAAACATCGTCGATTTGTTTTGATTGTTACAAACACTGCCTCGTTTTCACGGAATGCTTTATGAAAAGGTCTATTCGTCGAGAAAGTGATTGGCACTAGCATTTTATGCGAAAAGCTTCTAAAAACAATCTCTAACATGTTCGTATGATAGCGAAACACCTAGTTTTGCCCTTAGAGTTGCTGTTGAGGCTAGGAAAGAACAGCAAAAAGTGAAAAACTTGAGTGTGAATGGTGTTTGTTTTTATTGCGCTAGCTTGCCTAGGTGGTAGCTCATAAAAAAATGAGTGTGGGGACACTTTCATATCTTTTCTCATGAAAGATTTATTTCTCTTCACGGTTGGCTGCTGTGACTACAAAGCACGCCACTCTAAGCTGTGATTTTCCTCACAAAGACATACTTTTTTGTTGTTTTTTTATAATTTTTTATTTTATTTTCTCTGTTTTGTTTCAGTTTTTAGCTGTCATTTTAAAAGTTAGTTTGCTCATGCATTGGTTTGTTATGGTTATTTCGATTTTGCAATTGGTTCGTTTGTTCTGCACTGATATCTTATGTGTATCTAGAACAGAGGTGCGTAGAACCTAACTTAGTTTATACGAAACTGCACAAATCTTTGCTGGAGCGCAAGAATAAATATGAGAAAAGTTATAAAAAAAAATTTACTCTACCGACAGATTATTAATGGCTCAAGAGCGCGTTGCCAAGTCAAAAGTGTACAGACTTCCACTTCCAAAGTGTAAAACTTATACTTATAATATTAATATAAAACTTATATTAAATCCTATTGAAATTATGATAAAACAGCCTAACCCTATCATAACAGCTGTTAGAAAATGCGCTTTTGATCGCAAGTCAAATGCGCATTTGACTTGAAAATACATAATTTGCATGCCGAATAACGGGAAGGGGGAAGGGGGAGGGGGAGGTTTATTAAATTTCAGAAAAAATCTCCTCTCCCCCTTATATTTAAAACCCCCCTTTTTATTAGATTTTGACTAAAATTCCCACCCACCCGTTTATTCCCATTCCCGTTGTATTCTGCACTCGAGAGTATGCAATGCAACCATATTGACCATAGCTACATAGTGACACACCCACAAATTATTTGGAAGACCAAATCCTAATAATACAAATAAAAAGCTATAAAAAAAAATATTTTGAATATTGACCAAATTCTAAAGACAGAAAAAGCATTTGTTTCGCAGTAATGCTTTCAATAATAAAGCACTTAATGAATGAAAAGCATAATATTATGCGCAGTTTATCCGTTCCTTTAGTATAAGTCGTGAAACTGCAAAAGGCATAGTTTGCACATCTTTTAAAATCTTGAATTTCAACAGCTGCTGTTTTTACAAGAAAAATAAAACAAATGAAAAATCTGAAAGATTATTTATTGTTACGCACTTTTTGCTGCTTCCCGTGTTCGTTACTTTTTCCCGTGTTTGTTACAACGTTTACTTTCAATATCCATTGTAAATAATTCATACATTTATGAAGAGATATAACGGGACCATTTTGAAGTTTCACTTTTAATTGTAGTTTCCTGTTGCTTATTTTGAGATATGCTATTTAGTTTAAAGTTTGTACTAGATAAAACATGTGATTTACTTTCCGAATTTTGTTCAGTTATACTTGGATCGTCTTTTTTTACATTTTCTTTTAAGTTTAAATTACGAACAATTTTAAATTTTTTATTTTCGTACTCTTTATATTCATCATTTGTTTTTTGAAACTTCTCATTACAAATATCACTTTTTATGTTCAATTTTCTTTTTTTATTCGACGACCTCATCTGTCCATCAAATTGATTTAAATCATCGTCATCCGATCCTAAAATAATTTTCTTAAAGTTTTAAAGTTAACTTAATTATTTTTATCTTTTAAAGTATATTAAACTATTTTTAAATCCTAATATTCTAACTTAAATGGGCTTGGAAGTATTTGGATCATACCATTTATGGTATAGTTTTTTGCCTACATTTCTCCTCCACACATGACAACTTCTAAATCATAAAGATAGTCATTGTAAAAGCTTACTTTTCGTTAACAATTATTTTATATGATTTTAATAACAACTATCTACATAACTATCTCATGTTAATTAATAAGATCTGTTTTTCTGAAACTAATATTACATCAAGCCTTTCTGCTTCTCTATGCTGAAAGTTATTTGCCCTAAACAAAGTTGGCATTGGAAGAGCGCTCTAGAGATATGGTTTGTAATTATTAAACTATGATTAAATATTGTAATTGTTAAATATATATATATATATATATATATATATATATATATATATATATATATATATATATATATATATATATATATATATATATATATATATATATATATATATATATATATATATAAATATATATGTATATATATATATATATATATATATATATATATATATATATATATATATATATATATATATATATATATATATATATATATATATATATATATATATATATAGACACACACACACATATACGTATATGTGTGTATACAACTTAAATTGCTAGTTTAGATGAGCACTCTGACGTCACATTGAAATAGGGGAGATATAGATATAGATATATATCATATAGTGTAAGTGTGCGTATATATATATATATATATATATATATATATATATATATATATATATATATATATGCATGTATATATATAGTATAAGTAATAACAAATATTATTTACTAAAAGATCTTTTGAATAACTTTTATCAGACACCAGACATTTTAACTTTTTGTTAAAAATTATTTGAGCATAGCATTAATACTATTTTGTATAATGAGGATGTATAAATATTTTCATACCTTCGTTTTCTAATGAATTAGTGCAAAACTTCAACCACCTGTTAGGCGTGCTGTTGGATTGATCACTAGAGACTAATAAACTTTCAACATTGTCACACGGAAAAACATTACAGTTGTTGTTACATAAACGAACAGCAGATTCAGCAAGATTATCTTGATGAAGATTAGTAAGTTTTTTCTTCTCAAGATCATTTCCTTTTTTTAAATTGACTTCCTGACAATGTTGACGACAATCTTTTGCTATCCCAACAAAGTGAACAACTCTGACTGATTGCTTTTCATTGCAAATTTTACATTGCCACTTATTTGTGCTTTTTTTAACCTTAACAAATTATAAATAAAAGAATATTTTGCAATTTTATATTTCACTATGTCAACAGTTTTTACAAAAAAAAAATTATATTACCTGATTTACTTGAAATGTGTTGCATTTGTAACATTGCAATACTTGAAATTCTTGCGTCATTTTTTACTTTTTCTATGAAGCTTTATTTATATAGTCACTTATTCCACATAATTAAGATAATAATTGCATAATAAACACACGAGTCATAAAATTACATACAAAATATATGAGTTATAACATTGCATTATAAATACACGAGTCATACATTGCATAATAAATACGCGCTTACAATGTTTACATAATATTTACACAATAAATATATTGGGATAGCAACATAATAATGAGATGAGAGAAACCTGTTAAAATTCAAATTCAACTACAAACACAAAAAAATGCATAAAACTTGCACAAGATTGCCTAATCTCAAACTTGCAATTCTAACTTATCTTAATGCAAGGCATTAAGATAAGTCAGAATTGATGTCATGCAATACCATGATTCAATACCATGGAGAGTTGAGTCTCATTTTAAAATTAGAAAAAAACATTTTAATAGTAGAAAATAGTTTAAGCATAACTGTTTACAAAATCTAATTAGCATTATTAATAATTTTTTATAACTTTTTATAAGTATAAATAAATTTTTAACTTAATATGTAAACAAAAAAATATTTACAAATTAAAAAAATTATTGAAATATCGTAAACTAACATGACATCATCATCGGCGTTCACGACAAAGTAAACTTTTGTAAGACTTTCAAAAGTGATGCTTCTTTATCTTCAATTCTCTGCTTCAATTTTTGCTAAAAATATTTAAAAATTTATATAAAGATAATATAAACCTCTCACAGATGTACCCAGATCTTTTTAAAGAAATGAATGATTGTATCACTTGTTGAGTAAATACCCCCAAAATATATGCTGAATGTTAAAGTTTGTTTCCTCATAAAAGTTGCAAAAACCATTTTTTAATAAAAATAGTTTTAAAGACCGCCACAAAAATTTAATAATATAGACAACCACTAGAAGCACTGCTAATTGGTAACTCACAACTCCACAACTGATATTGATAATACTGTGTTCAAAAATTAAATAACTTATGTTCAAAAAAAAAAAATTAAAACTGTCTTGTTTATTCTTAAGATAATATTTTACAATGTTAGCTACTGACCCCACTTAGAATGTAAAAGATATATATAAATATATATCTTATAGTATAAGTGTACGCGTGTATATATGTATATATATATATATATATATATATATATATATATATATATATATATATATATATATATATATATATATATATATATATATATATATATATATATATATATATGCATGTATATATATAGTATAGATAATAACAAATATTATTTACTAAAAGATCTTTTGAATAATTTTTATCAGGCACCAGACACTTCAACTTTCTGTTAAAAATTATTTGAGCATTGTATTAATATTATTTTGTATAATGAGGATGTTTAATTATTTTCATACCTTTGTTTTCTAACGAATAAGTGCAAAACTTTAGCCACCTGTTAGATGTACTGTTGGATTAATCACTAAAGACTAATAAACTTTTAAAATTGTCACACGGAAAATCATTACAGTTATTGTTACATAAACGAACAACAGATTCAGCAAGATTATCTTGATGAAGATTAGTAAGTTTTTTCTTCTCAAGATCATTTCCTTTTTTTAAATCGAGTACTTGACAGTGTTGACAACAATCTTTTGCTATCCAAACAAAGTGAATTAAAATTACACCAAGCCTTTCACTTGTAATTACTTCATGTGGGAGATAAAATAACCATGGATAAATAATAAATAGCAGGTAAAAAGAATAAGTCTTATTTTTGTTTTATAAACATAAATTTTCATTTTTTAGGATTATAAATAAATAAAAACATTTTTTAAATTCACCACCCTAAGTTTTCAAAGGAGATTCAATACAGTTAACAGGCTACTTACTTTTTTTTTTTAATAAACATTTTTACATTAATTGCAACTCTCTCAACCTTTAAGCCTAAAATACCTTTATAAAGGAGAACACTGCATTAAAATATAACTTAAGTGCGGTACTTACAATAGTATATGTGGATTTGAACTTCGAACTTCTTGATTGTGAACCAAAAGTTTTACCAATTATCTTATACTGCATTTTACTATACTAAATTAATTTATCTATGCATTGTTAGTGTCCATATATGGTTAATGTAGCTTTATGCAGCCATGGCGCAGTGGTTAGAGCATTTGCTTTATAAGCAAGAGATTCAGGTTCGAAACAAGTTTTGGACGTATTTCCCGTCACGGTAAGGAAGAAGGCGTGAACTTCCTAGTTAAATACACTTCTATGTTGCTCTGTGACAAGACCGTTAGGACTTCTTGGGGCACCTAAATAACAAATTTAAAAAAAAAAAAAACTGTGTGTATGCAGAATTATATGGTTAGTATATGTATAGTTAGTGTATATATTTTACCTCCAACAAAACTCAGCGATTTACTTCAAACATCTATTGCAATACTGTCAATATTCCTATATTAATGAATGGCAACCCTCTCACTGAGTCATCTTCTTTACATATTCTTGGATTATTATTCACTACTGACCTTTCATGGAAACTATATATACAATTTATTGCTAAACTAGGATCTGCTAAGGTTGCTTCTCTTTATCGTGCTTGCCATTTTCTTACTCATGATTCCATTCTCAACCTCTAAAAATCTCTTATTTGTCTTTGTATCGAATACTTTTTTGCTCTTTCTCTTCAAGACTAAGTCCAAAAATGCATTGTAAATGTAGTTAGACGGGCTCTATCTCCCAAGCTTGAGCCTCTTTCCCATTGTCATAAAGTTGCATCTCTTTCTCTTTTCTATAAATACGATTATGATTGCTGCTCAAAGGAGCTATCATCTCTAGTTCCATCATCTCTAGTTCCATCATCTCTAGTTCCATCATCTCTAGTTCCATCATCTCTAGTTTCATCATCTCTAGTTCCATCATCTCTAGTTCCATCATCTCTAGTTCCATCATCTCTAGTTCCATCATCTCTAGTTCCATCAACTCTAGTTCCATCTTCTCTAGTTCCATCATCTCTAGTTCCATCATCTCTAGTTCCATCAACTCTAGTTCCATCATCTTTAGTTCCATCAACTTTAGTTCCATCATCTCTAGTTCCATCACCTCTAGTTCCATCAACTCTAGTTCCATCAACTCTAGTTCCATCATCTCTAGTTCCATCATCTCTAGTTCCATCAACTCTAGTTCCATCATCTCTAGTTCCATCAACTAAAATTCATTCTTGACTTGTCATTTAGTTAAGTCTCATTATTTTACTGTAACTGTCTCTGTATGCTCTAAAAACTTTTATTTGTCTAGTTTTTTCTACAATTGCTTCCTATGCTGATTGCAAATCTTCCTTAGTCTTTGCCTGAATGATGTTAAGAGCTTTTAACAAATTTAATTTCTTGCAATGCCAAAAAAATTTAGGAACTAGTTTTGAGAAGAGCATTTTTGCAACATCTCTCTCTGCAATAGAAATATTATGGTCTAGAAGATCAAGTAGAACCAAAATTTCATCAAGGTACCATAAATGTAATTTCATTGAAACTATTGTGGTATCAATTTCATTTAAAATTGTTTCAGAATTTTGAACATATTGTTCTACGTATTCTCTATATTTCATCATTTGCCAATAAGCATTCATATCTTGGTAAGGCACATCGTATGGTAAAGAAGTTTTTAAAAACCAGATGGACAAAAAAATAAGATTGAGATAAACTCAGCCATAGACTGCACTTCTTTCTTTGATTATCTGTCTTTGAAGAATTAGGGCTACTTTTAATGTCATTCTAGTTTAATTGGAACTGTTTGAACATTATGTTTTCCGGAGATTTAGTTTTTCTACTGTACTGTTTTTCAGTGTTTTAGATGTAATTCATAAACATGTTTTTTGCAAGCCAGCTCTAGTACATTTAAATTTTGTTAATGACTAAACCTGACATTTTTACCAGAAAATCTTCCTGTATTTATAGAAGTTGTATCAAAACATAAACCTTTCACATCATCAAATATTCCATACTCATCCAGTATTTTACCTAAAGCATCATATTGAGCTTGTCCAGTACCACAAACAATAGTATTTTGGCATTCCATCCAAGAAGCTTCATTTTGCCATCAATATTTACTGAGACTGCAAATTGATCTCTTTTTTGATTTTTTACCTTCTATGATATCTTCAATAATTTTCCCATCAAAATGTGTTATCATGGGAAAAATAGATTTTACTTGGTAGCAATTTTAACATATGTTTTTATATTGCTCAGCATTTTCCTGAAAAAATTTGTTTTCAGCTTGCCAACGAACTGAATGAGACAATAAAAAATTAACCACATATCCGTCTGAACTTACTATTAAATTCAAGTCATGGCAATATCTTTAAAAAAATCCTTCCCTAACTCTTGTTTTTGATTATCTGGGCTGTATCTGATTCTGTATTAATATTACTTATGACTGAGAAAAGCTCTAGCTCTGTAGTTGATTCGTCTACTTGGGGTAATTTTTAACATTACAATTTTTTAACTTCTTCTTTTCTTTATTTACAGTCTTATATCTCATGTCTTTGCTCCTCAAAGTCATAAGGTGTCTGGACTTTTGGTCTTTTAAAAACTTAATATTAGAATAATGTAAAAGTTTATCAAAGCATCTTTTTTTAAGATTTTCTTAATATTATCTTTACCAATCAAAATCTGCTCCCCTCTTCTTTTTGAATTCTTCCCTAAATTTCTCTGCTGCTTTCTTCTCCTAGATTTCTCTGCTGCTTTCTTCTCCTAGATTTCTCTGCTGCTTTCTTCTCCTAGATTTCTCTGCTGCTTTAGAGTCCTCATACTTTTCTTTAATGTCTCCCAACTACCGAATAAACTTTTTTTAAATTAAATCCCATCGATCAAACAAGTGATATTATCCCATCGATCGAACAAGTGATATTATCCCATCGATCGAACAAGTGATATTATCCCTGCAAAAATTATGATAATACATTAAATGAAATCAAAATATTAATGACACATTTATAACAATTCATCATATTACATGTTTGTTTTATTGTTCAATAATAAGAAATTTTATTTATTTATTAATTAATCAGACTGCCTTATAGTAATTATATTATTAAGCTATAAACCCATACGTAATAACAATTAAAAAAAATTATTGAAGTGTTATTAAAATAAAACCTTAATAACTCGCTTAATAAGTTCAAAGGATTACAAATATTTATTTTTACTATTTTATTATAAATTGAAATTAAAAAACTTACCTTATAGATTTATCCATTAATAATTCATCTTTGCAACCTCCGTCTAACCAAGGTTTTTTTACTGCAAAAAAAAATACAGTTGTCATGGCAATTGACAAGGCTGGAGCACTGTGCTAATTTATCGGGCCCATCAGTACAACCGATAAACTTTTTGGACGGAGTTAACTTGTTACTAGATCTTTTAAACTGAAAGTTTAGAACTAATTTTTCATTTGTTGCAAAAGTTATTCGAGGTAAGTTTTCTATCAACCAATCGAGGTAGATTTTCTTCAAACAAGTATGCTCTAGCTTTTAGTTTTATAATTTTAGCTATTTTGAATACTATTTAAAAAATATTAGACTACTTGTTATAAGTTAATGCAAATTTAGTTTTAAATACTTTGTCTTAGCATTGGAGAGAAATTTTAAATTGGAGAGCATTGGAGACTTGTTGTTTTTTAAACTATTGTTTAAGTACTTTGGTTTAAACATTTTTGATAAAATTTTCCGATCAAATTTCTGGATTTTAAATTTATTGCGCTCTAAAAATGAAAAATTTTTTTTTTTGCTTAAACTTATTTTCATATAAATGGTCAATTTATAAACTGATTCGCAAGTTCAATTTCAAAAATTGATAAAATATAAAACACTCTAATGGTTAAGTCCTATAATCCTAAATAAATGTGTATGGATTAACAGTTAATAAGTTTATGCATGTTTAATGTGCGGATACAGAGATGATGCATATATGTATGTATGTATGTATGTATGTATGTATGTATGTATGTATGTATGTATGTATGTATGTATGTATGTATGTATGTATGTATGTATGTGTGTATGTATGTATAAATGTATGTATGTATAAATGTATGTATGATTGTATGTAGGATTTGCAATCCCAGGATCCGGCCTAATTTTATAACCCTGAATTTCTGGGATTATTTTAAAGATATTTCTGTATTTAGAATTTTGAAAACTACGATTAATACCTGCATTTACCAATTAATACTTGTATAGCAATGCAATGCAATATTTTCAATATTGATTTATAAGTTTAAAGTAAGTTTAATCAGTCTTATTTATTGTGACCATTACTGGCGCATTTATTAGTAAATAGTAAGAAACTTTAATTGATAAAACTAAATATAATAATAATATAAATAATAAAAATAATAATAACATTAATGAGAAAAAATAAATAGTTTATAAATTCTTATACTTTCATTGATTTGTCAAATTAGGTTGCAATGTCAAATTTCATAGAGTTCAACAGCAAAACCCCTATATGGAAACATTTTCTGCGCGGCAAAGAAAGTGAAACAGCAATGTATAAACTGAACCATTGCAAAAAAGTATTGAAAATTACTGGTGGATCAACGAAAGCTCTTCATTCGCATCTACTTAAGTTACATAAAAACAAATTCAAAAACTGGCGCAACATCTCAGACATCGGAAGAGTAAAACTGCAGAGTAAAAAAAATAAAACTAGTTCATATTTTTCATCAAATAAGAATAAAGAAGACAGCTTGCATCTTGCTTTTTTAACAGTTTTTTTAGTTGCATGTTGCTGTTTTGACTACTAATACTGCTTATTGTGCCAGTTATGTCCAATGGCATATTCTTTTTCATTAAATGGTATCTACAGAAGAATCAATTCCATTTATAGTATTTAAAGTTAAAATAATATTGTCTTAAATATTTTTAATGCGAAAGATATCGAAATTTTCTTTTTCTTTTGAAGCAGGCTTAGTTTTATTAGTTCTAGTTAGTTTTACTAAAATCAACATCTTTTTCCACCTTTTTTGTCTATGGCACTCAATCCATCATTTTATCTTGTCAACATTAAATTAAAAAAAAAGTATTTTTTAAAAATGCCTTAAGATCATTTTTACTAACAAAAAAACCTCGTTCAAATTTTTTTCCAATGCCAGTATAAACTTACCACAATCATAAATCTTATAACAAATAAATTACACTTCATCAAGCAGCTATGCTTACAAAAATGATTTGTTTGTCCAAATATCAATCCCAGAATTCTAATTAGTAAAATTTCGTGACGTTGACCAAATGGGACGCTATTTAAACGATAGATAATTTTTAGAATTCAGGTTTAGTAAGGAATGCAGGGACAATGCCAGCTGAAAAGTGTGTAATTTTACTTAAAGAATAACTTTTTACATTTGATTTAAACCTTGAAAATAGTATTGTGTGCTTAATGACATATGGAGCCAAGGTAATGAAAGAAAGTGGAAAACTATTACAGGATTAATCAACAGCTATGCTTTGCTCATGGTATTCAACTGGCTATTATTTTATTTTTATATAATACGTCAGCATCAAATTGTACGCAGAGACATTTAGTCAATTAATGATCACATTGAAAATTTGGAAAATCTGAATTTAGTGAAAGCTGCGAATCAGATAGCAATGATGATAGTGATGAGAGTTGCTTAATAGTGAATAATCAAATAATTGGACATAATAATTACAAACAAAGCAATTGGTCCAGTAATTAATAAAGTCAGAAAAACTGTGATGGTTTTTAAAAGATCTCTAACTAAAAATGATTACTGTCTTTAAAAATACGTAAAAAAATGACTTTGGAAAAAACCTTCATTTAATCAAAGATTCTAAAACAAGATGGAGCAGCTAACTATCAATGCTTGAAAGGTTTCATAAATTAAAAAATTGCATAAAAAAAGGCACTTGTTGATATCAGTATTTATGATTCTATAAAAATGTCAGATAACGAGTATGAAATTCTTTCTGAACTAGTAAATGTGCTAATTCCAGTAAAAGCAGCAACGGAAGCGCATTATTGACGTGATGCAAACCTTATAACTGCTGATATTGTGTTAGAGTTTATGCTGACTAAATTAAATACTAAATTAAAAACTGAATACTTCAACAAGTTGTCAAGTTTTTGAATATTTAGTAAGTCAAGAAGATGATGAAATACCGAAAAACAGAGATAATGAAATGTTGAAAACTATTAGTGAGCAACTAAATGCCCTAGAAACGTTTTCTAGCAACACCCAGAAATTCTTTGTCAAGATTAGACAAAACTTTTACTCCTAAATTATTGAAAGAAATTGCTTAAAAGTGGTTTTACTTGGGGTGATACAGTCTCTTTTTCTCACTTTCTGTTCACTTTTTAAATAAAAATAAATTAACTTTAGTTCTCATATATAATCTCATATATAATCTTAAAAAATAAGTAAAAAGTCAAGAAAAAAATATTGATACAACCCTCAATCTGTTACAGAAGTAAAATCAGATTCAAAATCGGCTGCCTAAGTGATTAAAAAAAAGATTTTCAAGACAAGAGTATAAATTTAAGCTGTCATAAAATAGAGCTACTCTAGATTTTGATTACTTAAGGTTGTCAGGAAGATTATTAATTTAGATAAGGATAAGACCTTGTGGTACTCCAGAAGTTACTGGAAATGAAGAAAAATGTTGGCCTTCAAGGATGACTTTAATACTGGTGTTAGTAAGAAATGATTTAATAATCTCAAAAACTTTCCCAGATACACCACATGAAGCAAGCTGATGAAAAAGACTAGCATACTAAACTTTATCAAAAACTTTTGATAAGTCAAGAGAAATAGCCCTTTGCTTGACTCCTCCATATAATGCATGATAGAATCTTTCAATTACAGCAATTAGCAAGTCAGCTGTAGTACAAGGTGAAAAACTGTATTGATTTATAGAGAGCAACTCATTAGACTGAGGATGAGACGCTAGAAATTTGTTAATCAAGGACTCAAAGACATTGCTAATAATAGAGAGATAAAAGACAGAAGACTAGTTGGACGATTGGACTAGATAGAGGGGTCGAAGTGTTCTCCAGAGTGTTTAAAAATTAGAACCACAGATACTATTTTCAATCAGGCTGGAAAACAAAATCCAGACAAGCACTTATTAAATAGTTTAGATGAGAGTTCTAGTGAACACTTTTGTAAGACTATGGCAAGAATGTTATCTGAACCACAAGCTGTAGAAAAGTTTAATTGAGAAATGACTTTACCAATGGTAGCCTGAGTGATTTGGATGTCTAACAATAGGTTAACATGTTTAACTAGAATGGCAGGAAGAGTATGTTCCTTAGTTTCAAAAGTCAAATTAGAAGATAAGTTCTTTGCAAATAGTTCTGCCTTATATTAGAGGTAATATATAGAAAGCACATTTATCAGCGGATAGACAAAAAACATCAAACCATGAATCATCACAAAGAAAATCACGAAAATAATACCAGTTAGCTTTAGGGTAGTAGTAAGTAGTGTGATGATTGTGCAAGTCTGAAAAAGAAGTACGAGTTGAAAGATTATAGAAATCATTGCATGATCAAAATCACCTAAATAAGAACAAGGAGAAACTCAACACAAGTTAGGGTCAGAGACAAGACACAAACCAAGGAGTGAAGGTATGTGACTATGGTTGTCTGGAAAATGAGTCACAAAGTTGACTACCTAAGTAAGAGAAAAATACAGAAGTTATGGGCTTTAATGCCAGCTATGTTAGAGTCAAGCCATTCAGTGTGATAAGCATTAAAGTCACCAATAACAAGAATATTGGCAGAGATGGTGAGTCTGAAAAAGAAGAAGTATGAAATAAAAGATTTAGGGAGATAACAGCATGGTTCAAAACATCTTATAGAAAATAACAAGAAACTAAACACAAGCTAGGGTCAGAGACAATACAAAGATCAAACAGTCATGGTAAGTGATTAAGGTTGTTTGGAAAATAAGTCACTAAGTTAATTACCTGAATATTACATATACATATATTACATATATATATTCAATATACATTTATCCTCACTGCACCATTGTCAACAAGTTTAAACTTATTTGGATAGTGACAACTGAGAAAATATATGCTCAGATGATAAAATAAATAACAATAATGTAAAAAAAAATGTCCATAGTTTGAATCAACTCCATTAACATCAACTTGTTTTGTAATCATTAAAAAAAATTCATGTTTGTAGGATTCGTTTTTCAAAACAAAGGAAAAATTAAACTTGACTTAAAATACCCCATACCTTAGTTACTTCATTATTTAGTTAATTAGCAGGGCTAAAATAACTGCATAGCTTATGACTTAGAGTGTCATACACTATCTGATTATCTGATGCAGTACCTAATATGATTGAGTCTCACTGAGTTCTCTACTTATCTTAGCCTCTGATATCTGATATGATTGAGTCAACTTCAACTTCTATCTGATATGATTGAGTCAACTTCAACTTCTATCTGATATGATTGAGTCAACTTCAACTTCTATCTGATTTGAGCCAACTTCTTTTCAACTTCTATCTGATATGATTGAGTTAATTCCTTTTCAACTTCTATCTAATATGATTGAGTTAACTTCTCTTCAACTTCTATCTGATATGATTGAAATAATGTAAAACATGACTAAATTAACTTATAATATTAGACATAAAAAATAATACAAATATTCATGGCCTTCATAGCAACCCTAATTAAAATCCTAATTACTTACCTTCATTCCTTGATATGAATCTTGTATCTGACTCGAGTTTGCACTCAGTTTTTCCTTGTTTTCTTTTAGATGGTTGTGACAATGCTACAATCTCAGTAAAAATTTTATTTCATACTTCTTCATCAGACTCACCTTTATCATCGCACTTCTTACACCTAACTTAAAACTGGAATTCCTTTCTTTTTTTTTTTGTAATGGTTTTCAAGCTTTAATGATGCTCTTTTGTATTTCTACTAAAAAATGCGCTTCCTAAAAAGATCTTTTTATTAATGCTAGATTGCTATTTTATTGATGAAAAAAGGTATTGTTGCTTTTGTTTGTTTTGTCATTCTTCAATTACTTATTCTCATTCTATCTGAGAATTTCTAGAAAGTTTTAGAAAATCATTAATAGCAACAAAAACACAACATTCAAGCATGGCTCTGATCTTATTACCTATCCAAGGAGTGAAGTAAAACTATTAGCAAAAAAACTTTTTCTTTAATTCATTTCCTGAATCTAATGGCTACTTTTAAGTTCATTGCAAAGAAAAAGAAAAATGATTGCTAGACATCTTAATCACTCTGGCTTAAGTTGTTAAAGTTATTTCTTAAACACAACTAAAACTGAAGTGTTTCAAACTGAAGTGTTACAAACTGAAGTGTTACAAACTGAAGTGTTACAAAAGTGTCTAAAAAAGGTGTTTTTTAGGAGTCTCCTGGATACTTTCTAAAATATATAACAAGTGCTTAACTAAATATTTCAATGTTTATTGAGTTTTAATCCAAACAAAAGACATTTTCTTACTCCTGATATCTATTTTTCCTTCTTTTTATATAAATATGTATATATGCATGTATATATATATATATATATATATATATATATATATATATATATATATATATATATATATATATATATATATATATAGATATATAGATATATATATATAGATATATATATTGTATATAAGTATTTGAGGTCGGCAAAAAACCGTCGACCTCATTTCTAAGTCTTTATTATTAACCCCTTTGCCCACCTGATGCTGACCCCTAACAGTTTGAGGTAAGCAATAAATTGCCGAACTCGTTTTTTTCTAATTCCAAGAGTTGAAGAGTTGTGTGTGTGTATAAATATATATATATATATATATATATATATATATATATATATATATATATATATATATATATATATATATATATATATATATATATATATATATATATATATAGAATACATAGATTAATACAAGAAGCTGTCTTTTTTGGCTAAAATATTAGTCGTATTGAGGTAAATGTTAGTTGTATAACAATTTTAACTGCTTAAAGTTGATTTTTTTCAGGATTTCAATTTAAGTGCTCAAAACGTTTTGGTGCACAAATCAAAATACTCACAACAAACCCCAAAAGTCAATATAAGATTTTATGAAAATAGTTATTAGACACAAAATTTTTAAAAATCATCAAATATGCCACAAAATTGCATTAGTTTTATATCTATATAAAACTAAATATATTATTTCTATACCAAATATATTTATATATTTATACATAAATACATATATTTTCTTAAAATAACGAACTTTTAAATTAATACTTTTAGCACTGCAAATTAAGAAAAACACTATAACACAAAACAACAAAAAAGTAATTAAGAAAATTACAATAAAAGAAAACAATATAAAGTAATGAAAAATTTAAAAATACATAACTAATAAAAATCAACTCAATGTTACCTGAACAGTATTTAACTTTTTCTCTGCTGATTCATTGACTAAAAGTTTTATTTTGCTTTTCGTTAATGTTGACAATAGGTTTTCAGCAGTTTCTTTACAAATATCATCTAATGTAACATTAGATTTTATGTTTGCATTACTTTCACATGACTCATTTTCAATTTCCTAGAATATTAAAAAATAATAATAAAGATTAAAAACAACATAAAAAATTGAATCTCTATTACCAAAACAAAAAAAGTCTGTTGGCCATTATCTTCTATGCTGTGACTGAATAAAAACTGTTAAAAATCTTTATTTAGACACTCATCTTTATATTTATATTTCTCTATAACACAAATTTGTTTACAAGATTTTATTTTTAACAGAAAATTAAAATGTGGTAGTGTAGTGTAAAGCACTCGTCTCATAAGCAAGAAATTTCAAGTTTGATCCCCACCAAGTCCCTGGCAGTATGGAGCTTAACTTGGAGTAAGCATTTTGGAGTTGAGCGGGTTATAACCACAAAAAACAACCTTTTCAACTGTAGTGGTACTTTCAGCTTTAGGGAGGTGAATAAAATTAAAAAAAAAAAACCAAATCATATTGTCAAAATAATTTGGTTTTTTGCAACATGTCAAAGAAAAATTTTAATTGATAAAGTAATGTTATATATAAATTAAATTATTATTATCTCAAAAACTGCCATGGATATTGATAAAAACATGACATTAACCTTAAATGAGTATTGATTATAACATGACGTAAAATAAAACAAAATAAAAAAATTCAAATGCAAAAATATAAAACAGTAAAATAAAAAAGTAATAAAACCAGATAAATAATAATAACAACCTAATAATAAAAATCCTTAAAAGTTTATAAACTTTTGACCTCTAAATGTTGATTGGTAGGATATTCAATGCGCAACCACTCTTCATTAATTGCTTCATCAAGTGGAGGAGGAAATGTTTGCATCTGGGGAAGAGCTTGGAAATTCATCTGCGAAAATGATGATGTATAATATACAAGTTAATCTCTATAAAGATATTTGTTAAAATGTTTTTAATAAATTTGTGTAATATACAAGTTAATATATCTCTATAAAGATATTTGTTATAATATTTTTAATAAATTTGTGCAATATACAAGTTAATATATCTCTATAAAGATATTTGTTATAATATTTTTAATAAATTTGTATAATATACAGGTTTATATATCTCTATAAAGACATTTGTTGAAAGTTTTTTAATAAATTTGTATAATATACAAGTTTATATATATCTCTATAAAGACATTTGTTAAAATGTTTTTAAAATAGGTATTTAAAAAATGTAACAAAATTAACAGTTAATTATTTTCTAGTAAAGTTTTAGCTAATTTTTTTTTTTCAAAATTTTTTCTATTGTTATAATAATTTTCAACTTAATACTCTAATAATGTTAGGAAATTTAATTTCATATGAATTTTGTTTTCACTTGACTTTGAGGTGAAAACAAAGCATTGATGCTAATTTTAAGGGAAACTCTAGAAGATACTATATAACAATATTCAAAGATTTTTGGGTGCTTATTAGTGGCATACCTTTAGAAAACACATGAAAAAATTTAAAAAGAAAAATATTACAAAAAGCTGTACGTTTTAAATATTTTAGCTTTGCCAAGTAGACAGCGGACAAAGGAGCAAAAAGTAGTATATGATCTCCTCATTGGACATCTGGCGACCCTAACCCTATGGATGGTTGCTCTGTTAGTGTTACTTGATTATATTGCCAAAGTTACACAAGGAGCCCTTTGTTATGACTTAATTACGGTTGATTAATAGTACTAATGCAACTGTGTAGCTTATTTTAGAGATGGTGTTTTGATAACTTTATTTTAGAGATGGTGTCTCGATAGCTTTATTTAAAAGATGGTGTCTTGATAAAAATACTCATTTTGGGCAGATGTTAAATGCATCCGGCTGCTGTTTTGTAGAAGGCCTCCTAGACAAAGACTTAAGGGGTAAACAGATTCTATCTGTTGACCAACCTTGCACCCCTTCTCTATCTATTGGCACAGATGTATTTTTAATTCATTTTCTACAGTTTAGGATGTTAAATGCTGGGTCTTCTTGACTAGATGCATGGGTTTTGCTTGTGTCTCTGTTTTTATGACTAGGCAACTTATTCTATTATTTCCTAATGAGGATACAGCTCTAAAACTCAGTTTTATGGTTCTGAGGCCGGCAGGTAGTCAGGTTTCCTGAACTCTGTGGTAGCTCATATAGAGGCTGATTCCATCAACAGCTGTAAAATATCAAAGTACTAACAGCGCTATGTTGCACATGGATGGTGTCCCTATTTGTACTTTTAATGTGCATTGCCAAGGCCACATTGGAGCCTTTTGTTATGGTTTAGGGTTTATTAGTAGCAATGAGGCAATTGCTTGGACTATTAAACAGTGTACTGAGTACTATCTATGTTTCGAGTCAAGTCCTTTCACAAATTTCAAAATGAATAAAGCAATAAAAACTATAAAACACAAAAAACCACAGTCAAGTTCGCTAATCCTATCATTCACTAATATTCATGACCTTCGAAGTAACTTTTCTTCTGTCGAGTCTTATCTCTTGCAAAGTTCACCAGACCTACTTACTCTTTGTCAGACTAATTTGAGTTCAGCTGTCTCATCTTGTGATCTTAGTATTGATGATTATCTTCCTTTAATTCGTAAAGACTCCAACAGTCTTTACGAATTAAAGGAAAAAACAGTCTTTACGAATTAAACATGCTTGGCCTGGGCATTTACATTCGTAAGAATTCACCTATTTGTGGGGAAACTAGGTTTGAATCCAGACTACTCTTTTATGTGCTTTTGTTTAGCACCACTTTACTCTATCACCTTTCTCTTTGTTTTATATCGCTCTCCTTCATCTCAAGACTACACTCTTCTTGATGTTATTCCTGATCATATTGACCAAGCCCTCTCTCTTTATCTAACAGACAATATTGTTGTTTTCGGTGACTTTAATGTTCATCACACTGAATGGCTTGGCTCTAGTGTCAGTGACTCTGCAGGCATTAAAGCCCGCAACTTTTGCCTTTCTCAATCCCTAACTCAAATAGTCAACTTTCCAACTCACTTTCCAGACAACCCAAATCATTTACCTTCTCTACTCGACTTATGCCTTGTTTCTGATCCTAGTTAGTGCTCAATTTCTCCACTTTCACCCTTAGGTGCCCCTGATCATAGTTTGATCTCTCTAAAACTATTATCTCATTCTTCTTTATAATCAGAATTCCCCTATCATTGTATATTGTACAACTACCTTAAAGTTAACTGGGACTTTTTCCGTGATTTTCTTCGTAATGGCCCTTGTTTAGAAATCTTGCATCTTTCTGTTGACAATGTGCTTCTTACACAACTTCGTGGATTCAGGCTGGCATGAAATCCTTTATTCCCTCTCAATGATTCCAGGTCAAGCCTCACTCTTCTCCGTGGTTTTTCTCACATTGTGCTGCTGCAATTGCCAATCGAAACCATTACTTCCATATCTATCAGCAAAATAATTCTCCAGAAAACAGACATCTGTTTATTACTGCTAGGAACCATTGTAAAAAGGTTTTGTCTAAAGCCAAAGCCCGCTATTCTCAAGTCATGAAATCTTGTATTTCATCACAAAAATTAGACTCTCGTGACTTCTGGAGAATCTTTAATAGTATCAATAATAAGGGCAAGTCTGTCATTCTACCTCTTTTGTATGGTTCAGACTTTGTCACCTCACCTAAAGACAAAGCTGAAATGTTTTCTAAGAACTTTTCATCAATATCATCTCTTGATTCCACTAGTTGCGTTCTACCTGATATAGCCGTCAAACAATTTGATCTATTGCTTGACATCCATATCACTCCAGCTTGTGTATCTAAAGTGATTTCCTGCTTAGACTCTTCTACAGCTTGTGGCCTGGACAACATAACTGTTATAGTCTTGCAGAAGTGTTCTCCGTAGCTGTCGCCTATCCTTTCAAAACTATTCAACAAGTGCTTATCAGAGTCTTGGTTTCCAGCTTGTTGGAAAGCAGCATCTTTTATCCCTATTTTTAAAAATTTTGGAGAGCAATCTGATTCATCTAACTACCGTCCCATTAGTCTTCTTCCTATCATAAGCAAGGTTTTTGAATCTTTAATTAACAAACATTTAATCTCTCATCTTGAATCTGATAAGTTACTTTCTGATTATCGATATGGATTTTGATCTTCTCAATCTACGGCTGATTCGCTAACAATATTATCTGATAGATTTTATTGTGCATAAAGGTGGAGAGGTGAAGGCTATCGCTCTTGATATTTCTAAAGTGTTTGATAAAATTTGGCATGCTGGTCTTCTCCATAAGCTTTCTTCTTACGGTGTCTCATGATACATCTTTAAGATTATTGATTCCTTCCTTTCCAATTGTAGTATAAAAGTTGTCCTCGATGGACAGCACTCTTCTTCTTATTCTGTAACCTCAGGGGTTCAATCAACAGCCCTATACTATTTTTAATTTACATTAACGATCTTCCAGATATTCTCACATCTAAGGTGGCATTGTTCGCTGATGATACTATCATTTATTCTTGTTATGATAAGAAGTCAATTCCCACTGATTGCTTGGAGGGCGCATTTGAGCTTGAAAAGGATCTCACTTCTGCTACAACATGGGGCTCACATGCTGTAGCAGAATTGTTATCGCAATAATTTAGACCTTCCTATATTTATGAATGGTAATGTACTCAATGAGTCATCTACCCTTCATCTTCTGGGATTGACTCTTACTTCTGATCTTTCTTAGGAACCGTATATCAAATCCGTTGCAAAATTAGTATCTGCTAAAGTTGCATCTCTTTATCGAACTCGACGATCCTGTGTTGTTTCTCATCTATATTAATGACCCACTAACTATTGCCTAAAACTGTGTTGTTTCTTATCTATATTAATTACCCACCAACTATCGCCCAACACTCCTGTGTTGTTTCTCATCTATATTAATGACCAACCAACTATTGCTTGAAACTCCTGTGTTGTTTTTTATCTATATAAAAAACCTTGCTTTTAATAATCTTATCTTAAAGTAGATCTATTTTTCTGATAAAAAAACTATATACTCCAATCTTGATAATAAGTCAACACTTTTTGATTATTTAGAACAAACAGCCAAATTTGAATGTGATCTTTCCTTAGTAATAGCTTGGGGCTTACTGTGGCTAATGAATTTTAAGACAAAGAAAACTCAATTTACTGCTAAAAAATACAGCTGTTGATATTCCTATATTGATAAACATTCTTACTGAGTCCTCTACTTTAAATTGTATACATAAATCCAATCCATTGCAAACTAACCTAATGCATTTGTTAAGATTGTTTCTACATATCATGTTTGCCATTTTCTTACTCCTGATGCCATTCAATACATCCACAAATCACAAAATGTTAAACTGCTGAACATGTTGAATTACTGAAAAAAATGTTAAACTGTTGAAAAAAAAAAGTGCAATTATAGTTTATAAATTGACACCCTAAACCAAAAGCGGTATTTTTATACACTTTGATACAATCTAAGGTAGGTTCTGTTATCACATATTATGACATAATATGTTATAACCTCATGAAAATAATTGAATTTTGAATTAAAATTTATTGTAAGTGACAGGTATTGAAAAAGTTAAATATATATATATATATATACATATATATAATAAAAAATAATAATAATAATAGCAATAATAATAATGATAATAATAACAATAATAGTAACAATAATAATAATAGTAATAATATTAATTATCAATCTAACAAAGTGACATGAGGAGCAGAAGAAGGCTTGAATATTTATAATTTTGGCAAATGAAATCTATATTTTTTAACACTGTATCCAGCTTTAATTGAGTTTGAAATATAAACAATAATAATACAAATTAATATAAACAATAATAATACAAATTAGAGATAAATAATAATAACTAGGATATTTAACTTCATTTTTACTTTACAAAATTAAAAAAGAAAAACAATATCATAAAAATCAACCAACACCTCTTTCAATAACTCTTGTTGTTCCTGATCTACAGTAAATAGATACCTGTATAATTCATGGTGCTGAAAAAATCTGAAAAATAATTAAAAAAAAAAAAATCAATAAAAGCTAGAATCACTGACAATAGAATGATGAACAACAAAATAATTTTAATGGTTAAACTTTACAAAACATCATACTTGCAATACAATTTATAAGTAAATTAAAACGCACAAAAATAAGAAATCTATAACATCTTTGATTATTCTGGTTTCAAACTCAAAAGATTCTGGATTCTTTAAGCCATGTTTCAAATTGTCAATGCTGCATTGTAATGAACAATTTTTTTCACAATTTAAAAGAAATTTTGAATACAATTTAAATAACTTCATTAGTTGCTCATTGCTTAAACTCAGTTCTTGAGCAAAACTAAATCAGTTTAAAACAAATACAAAATAAATTATCAAGATAATACAAAAATGAATAAACATTCTCACTTATATATTCCTCTAATGCACCTAAAGTTAAAATTTAAAAACAACTCCAACTCCAGCTCAAAAAAACTTTTTACACATAAAACTTTTTTTTCAGTTTACACAACACAAAAAACTAAAGATATATAGAAAAAAATTAAAACAAATTTAAAATGTTATGATAAAACTTTGTGGCTTAATAAATTTAAAAATTACTTATAAATATTGAAAAAACAATCGACCAACGCAGCATCTTTTAAATTTGTCTGGTGACTTGATCCATTCATTAGCTGAATTAACTTACTAAAAAGTATAAATATATAAATCTTAAATAAACTTTAACAAACTGCATGCAAAAAAATATTGAGACTTACATTTCCAAATCACATCCTGAATATTCTCTAAGCTTCAAAAGCTCTTCGTTGCTAGCTGATAGTAGATCTTTCCAATCCATTTTAATAGTCTCAGATAAAAAATATATATATGTATGTTTATTTTTTTAATCTGAGATTAATAAATTAATAATTATATATATATATATATATATATATATATATATATATATATATATATATATATATATATATATATATATATATATATATATATATATATATATATATATATATGTATGTATATATATATATATATATATATATATATATATATATATATCTTCAAATATATATATATATATATCTTCAAATATAATAATAATCAGTAATATTTTACAAATAAAACTCATATAATATTGAAAATTTTAAGAATAGATTGTTTAATTTCTGATGTTACCTTTTTTTTGTTGTTTTGTGAAATTGCCACCGACGGCAAACAATAGTAACTTCCTTAGCACAGTGAGCCGAAATCTTTATTAGTTGGACAATAATAACTTATATAACTTACTAGATTGAAAACTTTTCATATTGGTCATTCCATGCCAAGTGAACCAGGGTCCAACATGGATCCCCTCAGATTTTGATGAAACTTTGTGGGTTGGTTTATATCAATGAGAAAAAGAAATTCCTAAAAATTTCAGCTTACAATCTTTTGTGGTTCATGAGATATTGCCATTTGAAATTTCTGATTTTTCCAAAGATTAAAACTTCGTTAGCAAAAACATTTTTGTTTATACTTTGAAGCTTTGTATTTTAAAAATGAAATTTCAAAAAATCCTCTAGTTTTTTTAATTAGATACAATGCTAGGCTTACTTTGTTAAAACTTTGATATTGAATTATCATATTTCATCCATAATGGCTGCCTAAAAAACCTAAAAAATTGTTTGTAAATATAAAAAGTTAATTATTGATGGGCCAATATACAAAATTAGCAACTTAAGAAGTGAAAAGACATATCTTTTTAGTTTCTATATATGACAGGCTTCTTAATTTTTTAAAATTTGCTGATAAGATACAATTCAGTAAAAAAAAAATGTATTCCTAAAATGGCTCTGGGGAAAACTTTAAAAATCTTCCCTTTAAACCACCGGTAACTTAGGATCAACACTGATTTTCATAATAATTTTTTTTTAACTGATTTAACAGACTTAATAATAAGTGAATTCAGAAAAAAAATTAGTGGGTACTCATGGGGAAGTGACAAAGTCAGAGCAATCAAATTGGTACAAAATGCATTAAAGTGGTAAAAATATAGATATTGATGTACTTTAGTTTTTATTACCTACTGCAATGCAAAATATATATATATATATAAAAGTATATCATAATCATTACTAGAAATAAGCTATAAACTAAGATTGAATTAAACTCAGTTTTTAAATAACCTTTGTTGCCTCCTCTCCCCCTGACCATTTACTTTTTAACAAGCATATTTTTGCACAGAACATTCTTATCATAACTAATTAAGAACATTCTTATCATAACTAATTAAGAAAAAAGTTCAATCAAGAACTTTTTTCTTAATTAGTTATTGAAAATTTTACCTTAAGCAGTGTGTCATATAAAATTTTATTCTTACTATCTGCCCAACACATATTTGTTTTCATATCACTGATTTTCTTACTATTTGATATTCTGACTATAAATTTTGTATAACTTTTCCCAAAGCATTTGCTATTTAGCCCATCCCAATTTATATGATTATCATCGTTTAAATTTAGGTTACAGATTATACCAAGTGACAAGAGTTATTTTGATTTGTCATCACAATACACAAGTTAATTAAGTAATATATATTATGTAATAAAAATATTATTATTTAATAAAATATCAACATAAAAATTGAATAATCCAAATTTGCTTTAATAAAAAATGTGGATTGATCAATTTAATAACAATTTTGCTATGTTGTTATATAGTTTTGTTATTATATATACTATTGTACAAATGTAGTATTTCAGTTTTTTCATGAGCTGATAGTTCATAGCATCTACCAGTTGCTGATTGCACTTTTAAAGATGAAGTTTTGCATAGAACATGTGAAATTGGAACTCAGCAAATATCTTCTCTATATGGCCAAGTAAAAGTGTTTGAGGAAATAGACTGCTTCATGAACTTTATAAGGATATTTTGATTTTCTACAGATATTTTCACAATATTACCTAAAAACCATTTTTCATCATAAACACATGCTATATAAATTCCTGGTAAAATAGAGGAAAGTAAACATTACTTTCCTCTATGGAAAGTGTCATTCGACTATGTGTTTACATTAGTAAACACATTGTCGAATGACACCCATCTCATCTAAGTTGTTAATAATTTTGGTATAAAACAATGGTGGAACTGTTGAACAAGTAGCATTACGTTCTTCTAATTTTAAATTTATGCAATGTAATGTAACTGTATCATTTGAAATTTATTGAAAATGTATTCCTTTAATATTTTGTCTACACAAATCATACATTTTCTCAGATGAATTGATAGGATCAGTTAGTGATTGTAAACTTGCCCTTGCTACAAGTCTTTTGACAGTTCCCCCAACACCATCACAAGCACTCTTTCCATGTGATGTAGCAAAAAAATACTATTCTGCAGATACCTCATGATCTTGTTCATGGTGACATAAGTTAGATATGTTTTTATAATTTTTGTATTGTGAATTTGCACCATCACCGAAATAAATGCAATGGTTGAAGTAGAGTATCAACTCTTTTAAATAATTTAATACTTCATGAATGAAACAATGAACTGAGTTTGCCATGCATTTGTTTCAAATGTCATGACAAACTCAGTTTGTCATGACATTTGAAACAAATGCATGACAAACTCAGTTCATTGTTTCATTCAGTTCATTGTTTCATTGAAAATGTCATGACAAACTGAGTTCTATTACGACATGCATTTGTTTCAAATGTTTGCAGTTTTTATCATTTTTTGGAAAGTAGAAAAATAGTTTTGTGTAAGTCTTGTGTAGTCAATTTTCCAACTCTCTGGAACCAAAGTTAATAATTTAAGTTTTTCTGATTTTGAAAAAATATTAAACTTTGCTTTAATTAATTCCATTAGTGAGTCCAAGTCTTGCTTACTGTTGCAACATAGCTCTTTTGTTATTTTTACATGAATCGCTTTTATAATCTTTTTTGTTATTTTTTAGATACAATATTTTATGACATTCTGTCAAAACTTATGACCAGGTATTAAAGCAAAATTCCTTTGCAACAGCAACACTGATTACTCTGACAGATTCTAAAAAGAAACAAAATGATAAAACATTAAATAAGCCTTTATCTTTGAAATAATTGATAAAGTTAATTTGTTTTAAACACTTTTTATTTTAATTTTGTATTTGTTAAATGGATCACAACAAAAGTTTCCATCGTACGAAGACTCAAATCTATTCAAAAAGATTGTTTCATGGCGATAACAAATAGTTTTTATTTGATTAACTTTACATCGTAAGTGCACAAGTTCTTGATCTTTTTGGTTAATTTGTCAAAACATTTAATTTTGTTGAATTTGGTAAATTTTCCTTCATGCAAATTTTTATTTAATGTTTTTCCAATGCAACATCGAGTAAGATTTTAAGATGCACTAGCCATTTAAATTATTATCTAAAAAAAGTTTGTTTAGTTTCAATTTTTGAAGTGTAAAGTTTCCATGAGTTTTGGCATAATAATTAAAAAATCTTGATATTAAAAAAATCAATGTCAAGGTTTTAACAAAGTAAGCCTACAGTTGTATATAATAAAAAAAAACACTAGGTTTACTGAATTTTCCTTTTTAAAATACAGAGCTTCAAAGTATGAACAAAACATGTTTTCGCTAACGAAGTTTTAATTTTTGGAAAAATTAGAAATTTCAAATGGCATTAACTAATGAACCACAAAAAATTTTAAGCAAAAATTTTCAGGAATTGCTTTTCTCATTGATATAAACCAACCCACCAAGTTTCATCAAAGTCTGAGGGAGTCCATGTTGGAATCCCAAAATTTCAGTCCACTTGCCATGGAATGACCCTATTACAACCTAGCACCACATTAAAATTGGTCAGGGTTAGGGTTAGGGTTTGGGTCTAAATTCTAAGGTAACAGAATATTTTGCGCAACTACCATGGATATTACCAAGCTTAAGAAACTTTTCGAAATCTAAGTTTTAGATTGGCCTAATAGTAATGCTACAGGCAAATTAAAAATTATTTTATGCATTTTAATGATTACACACACAAAACTACTAATTTTTGCTGTTGCTATACAGTTCTAGAGCTCTTAGTAACCAGTTACTTTTTTATTTTTCTTAAAACTAATGCATTATTCAAAATATATTTTTTTAACAAATGCAATAGCTTTTGAAGACATTCTTAATTGCTAAGGGCTCATAGCAACAGTTGATTAGCTTAATTTAATATGACTTGCGTGTTCTTAGCAACCAATTAAAAATAAAAATGTTTTCATACAATTAGAACTAGAGTTAAAACTTTGCAATTACAATTTACAATCTGTAATAAGGTAGAGTAGTTTAAGAATACCATTTGGAATAATTTTTTTCTGTGTTCTTGAACTTGAAATCAAATAGTCAAAAGAACACATTAGTCTTTTTAATTAACTTTTATTTATTTTGCAACACTGACACTTTCTAGAAAATTTACAAAACTTCTTAAAGTTCTTATTTTGTATTTTTTGCGCCTCGACTGAACATTAATAATGCATACATGGGCTATTCTCTCTATTTGCCAACCATAAATAAGAATGTGATGCTGGTTCTATGATACCAGGGATATAGATTTATATACTTTTAGCTTATGAAGTATTTTCAGCTGCATTAAAGTCATTCATTTTTTGTTTGACAGCAGCTACAAACAGAACAACACTAACAAAATCTTGTTGCTGTAGATAATGCTCTAAGAACTTTTCCATCTAAAATTGTAATCTTACTTTGGTGAAGTATTGTTAAGTTTTCAACAAGTTTTAAATCCAACCATGAACTAATTCTCTTGTTTTATAACTTCAACAGTTACCTTTTTAAATGAGAACCTTATTGGTCTGTAACCAATAATTTTTTGACCAAATAATTTTCTTTTTGGCAATAATCTATCCAGAACACTGAAGTAGAACAAAACAAGAAAGTAATAAACTCCTTTTAAAGAAATTCTGTTTTCTTTCTTAGCTGATGGCTGAGTGTATGTCTTTAAATATAAATTATGAAATTAATAACTTGTTTCTGCAACTGTATTTGCATAACGGTGTTTGATTGACTAACTTTTGAATGTGTATTTCTCCAGAAAAATCAGTTGCAGTCTATAATGTTTGTTCTAAAAGACAATTTTTTCTTATCAGCATTAACACTATTGTAGATAGTTGAGATTACAACTTCTACTAATAGCATTATTTCTTAAACATTAATAATTAGACTTGCTCATATTACTATATAATACAAGCTTTATTCAGAAGACTTATTGAAAGTGTTTTGAGCATGCTCTGAATCAGTAGGCTGTTTTAAATATATTTCTAATTACTTTAACATTTTTTATGAAATCTTAAACAAGTTACAGCTACTAGCATATAACAGTTTGTCAAAAGAATAAGTTGTTAATTCAGAGCAGGATTGAAAAGTCTTGTTTTTCAAAATAAATGACCTTTGTAAAATAAATTAGGAATTAAAAAA